TAGGATGATTACATAAAGCCCCTAAGGGCTTTATCAGGTATTTCATTTCCTTTAGATAGACGGCCTGGAAGGCCAGAATAACTACGAATGTGAACAAAGAAAATGGGATGAACACGTTGACAAAGCATAGTCTGTAAAGAAATGAAAGCTGAGGGTAGGGCTTCATCAATATTAGTGTTAAGAAGGGCAGGGGATGTCTTGATGAGTCAGAAAGGTTATTAAGTGCCTGTGAAGGGAATGAGGAAAGAACGGAAATAACAGCAGCTAATTCAGCATGTTGGGCTGAAGGGAAAGGCACTTTGTGCCAAGGGGCATCTGAATCTGTGCTCCAGATCAAGAGTCCGAGGCCCATAGCAGAGGAACTATCTACGAAGATAGTAGAGCCTGAGAAATGGGAGAACTGACACAATAGTGAAGGAACAAATAGGGAGAAGCTGCAGGGATTGAATGTGTTTATGGGGTGGGGTGGGTGTAGAATAAAAAGAATGAACCTGCATAATCCCGGAGAACAATTTGAAATTGCTGAGTAAGCAAGGAGCCATTCCATCTCCTGTTTGGAGAGACCCATGTTATTAGAGGCAGGATCATAGCCGGATAATGACTGACAATGAAAATATGCCCTTTGTAACAAGAAACATCTTAGAGAAAGATAAGTAGATAGGCAGTTCTTAGGCTAGGAGGGAAGAAAAAACCATTCAATAATGCGAAAAGGTGAGGTTAATTGTCCAGTGATTCCTGTAGGAGAATGGTGGGTTTTTAAAATAAGCAGGGGGAGAGATTTTAGGATTGCACCTGTCCAACAAGAAGAGTGAAGTCGATTGTTAAGAAATGTCAATTGTTGCTTTGCTTTATGAGTGAGTGAACGACAAGATGCAGGGGCTGGGCAGAGTTTAAGGGAAGCGAACAACTCAGAAAGAGTGTAAGTGGGAATTCTAAGATATAGCCAATTAATGTGTCCTAAAAATTGTTGTAAACAATGGAATACTATTTAGCAATCAAAAAGATAAACTCATGCCATTCGCAGCAACATGGATAGAGCTAGAAGGGATTATGGGCAGCAAAATAAGCCAGAAGGAAAAAGAAAAATATCAGATGGTTTCACTTATAGGAGGACTACTGGGGAAACAAGGGATCAGGAAAATAAAAATAATGATAACAATAATAATAAATAAAAAATAAGCATGCAACTATAAATCAGAGACATTCTGCAAGGGAGGGGGTGGCAGGGGGATCTAAACAGGGGAGGGAAGAGCACAAGGGACTATGGTGATGGTTCACCAGTGAATTGGTGGTGGGAATCTTACAGGGACTACACCTGAGAGGAAAAGTATATATAGTACAAAAATGAACAATGATGTAAAAAAAAAAAAAATATATATATATATATACACACATAAAATAAAAATCGTAAAGTTGTTAATGTGACTGGGTCAGGTAAATATAAAGTAGGAGTCTTAGGAGTCCCTATAAGATAGAAATCTTACTATTTTAGAACAAAGTTCTCATAGGATTAACAAACTTACAGATTTTTATAAAATACTTAATTACTCAGAGTGACAAGGATTTTTAAGAGAACCTCGTCTATTTCTTTGACAAGGTTCAGAGCAATGATGATAAAATAAGATTTTTCTCAAGTAACCTGAGGGTAAAAGAGCACCAAGATTTTCAGGTTACCTAGTCTTTAATTTGTTATAGGAATTAGTGAAAGCAGCTTTAGAATACCTTTAAGTTTTCATGTGCAAAAAGGACTAAAGTTTGTTGTTACACAGGTACACTACTGATATTAAAGTTAACTTAAATATTCTTTTTTATTTTTTTGTGGGACCCTCGCTGGTGGCCGGGGATCAAACCGGCGTTGCAAAGGCTACGGGCATCCTCGCAACCCAGCGCTCAACCGCTGTGCCACCAGGGGAGGCCCAACTTAAATATTCTTATAGCAAGTCCTTCAAGCACATAAAATTTCTTCTCTTAAGATACCTCTCTCAGATCTTTAACACTTCTTTCATCTTATTATTTTTTAAATACCATTACATTTCAAGGATAATCACTTTATTTAAATTTTTTACAGGAGCTTTAAAATATCTGTTTCCAATACATTCCTTCCTTTTCTAAACATGTCACTTTACTTGTATTTAGAGTTATTACATCCTAGTTCCTAATCTTTAGATTGCAAGACATTGTAATAGCTATTATACTATCATCCCTTTAAACTAGACAACTTACACATAAACACATGCTTTTTCTTTTAGGTGAGGTGACATTAAATTTTAGTTTCCTTACAATAAGGAGCAAAATGTAACCTGAAAGTTCAGTAATTTTAGATAAAATAGCTTAAATAGTCAATAATTCTTTATTATTAAACTTAGTAAAACATTAGTTTTATAAGAGATTTAACCACCATTTAAATAATACTCTGCTGCAGAATATTCCATTACTAAACCAATCCCCCTACTGATAAACATTTAGACTAGTCCTCATTTTTTGCTGTGATAAATCTTTTACATGTTATTACACACACAAGTAAATTTATTCAAAAAAAATCTTAAAACTGGAATCTGGGTCAAAGGACATAAAAATATGTAATTTTTAAAGATTTACAAAATTACTCCAATGATGTAAAAGTTGTCTTAATGTACATTCCAATTTAAACTGCAAGAGCCTGTTTGCTCATACCTTTTTCAACACTGAGTGTAATTAAACTTTAGGATCTTTGCCAATCTGATAAGGGAAAATGGTTTCTAAGTGAATCTAATTTGCATTTACCTTATAATGAGTGAGGTTGAGCATATTTTCATGGGCTCAAGAGCCATTTTTTTTTCCTTTTTGGTAGTCTTTTTATATCTTTTATCCAATTTCCCATTTCCCATTTATTAGTTTGAAGACACTTCTTACACATTAGAGCCTTTTATTTGTGAGAAATCTTCCCAAACAAATATCTTCCCTCAGTATGATGGGTGGCTAGGGAGGCAGGGACAGGCATCATACCTAGCCCTGGAATCTGCACACACATACACCTAGTATAAGCTCCACTACACACTGTAGGACTAATCATCTATTTTTTTTAAACTAAAATCCTTGCTATAAACTCAGAATCCTGCCCCAATAATGCTCCGTCCGAGGAGTGCCAGACATTGACACCATCAGATGTATCAGGGTCAAGCTAACCTGGAGGCTGGTAACATGATCTGGGGGCTGAACAAGACAAGACAAATACCAGACACATCAACTGTGACGGGCTGTTTGCTTATGACTGTCTTTGTTTAACTCATTATATAAAGGCCAACTCAAGATGAGATGGCAGAACAGTTTCTTGGGGATGTTACACCCACTATTCTTTCAGATTCATGGCAGAATAGTGAAAATTTAAAGCACTTACAGATTCAGTTTCTGTCTGTGCTCACTGGCATCTGTAGTGACTGGTAGCACCAGAACCCAGGCCTGATCCAGTAACAGTAACAAGTTTATTTTGTCTTCCCTTATGGAGCCATTTGCCATAACATTTTTTGATATATAGATAATCCCCAACTTTTGGTGGTTCGACTTATCAATTTTTTAGCTTTTCGATGGTCACATGGTTCCTCTAGCTGCAGGACATTTTGGTGAGACGAATATTTTCAGTTTTAGCACACTGGATAAAGTTAGATTCTTTTTTTTTTTCAAAGATTTATTTAAATATTTATTTATACAAGAACCAGGGTACAGGCCAGATTCATCGGAGGGTGAGAGGATTCACCAGAGCCAGAGCGGGGAACAGAACAGGCAGACTGATGAAACACACTGCTGAGGGGAGCAGCGGGCGCAGCAGGAGAGGTCTGTGCGCCATGTGGGACCCTCGCCGGCGGCCGGGGATTGAACCGGCGCTCTAGAGGCTGTGGGCTGCTTCGCAGCCCAGTGCTCAACCGCTGTGCCACCTGGGAGGCCCCCAAGATGGAATATTACATGTAAATTGTATTGTCTATTGGTTTGAATAGGGGGTTGTGGAGCTATTTACAAACATGACCTCAATATAAATACACAGCTTGGCAGAAAGTGTAGTGTAATCATATACAAATAACTTTTTAAAAATTATTAAATATATATATTTTACATCTTCCCTCAGTATGATGGGTGGCTAGGAAGGCAGGGACAGGCGTCATACCTAGCCATGGAATCTGCACACACACACACACACCGAGTATAAGCTGCACTACACACTATAGGACTAATCATCTATTTTCTTTAAAATCCTTGCACAAAAATTGTTCATTTTTGTACAATGTTTGATTCTCCCTTCAGGTGTAATTGCCATAAAATTTCCACCACTACATCTACCACTACAACCTTCTCCCTCCCCCTTCCCTGCCTTGTGTCTCCACAGGTAAATGAAAAAATGCTCCACATCACTTATAATCAGGAAAATGAAAATCAAAACCATAATGAGATACCATCTTACACCAGTGAGAATTGCCTATATTAAAAAAACTGGCAACAACAAATGCTGGCAAGGATGTGGAGAAAAAGGAACCCTCTTATACTGCTGGTAGGACTACAAACTGGTCCAACCACATGGAAAGCTGCATGGAAGACCCTCAAATTACTAAAATTAGAGCTACCATGTGACCCAGCAATTCCACTCCTAGAACTACGAATAACTTTAAGACCAATAGAAATGAAAAAAAGAACCCCGAAATATTGAGAAATTGGAACAGGAGATCAAGTATGTTGCTCAAATTTGAGTAATTTAAACCATTTATATAAATCAGTCATTTAGGATGAGAGCATTAAGTATTTCTAAACTGTAAACATTACACATGCTAAATGCTTAGCTGGACCTAGGACTAGTCCCAGAAATATCTCTAACCAGTATGAGTGAATGTTAATATTGTCCCCCACCCCCACACCATCTCACATAGGTTGCCACAAAGGTAAGGGTAAAGCAACCACACAGGTAGTCTTTGCTCTTGTTTCTTACTCTGAGATGATCCTCTACCTGAAGATATTTAAGCAGATCCTTCTCAGCACTGCAATGCAAATGACATCTAATAGTGCCTATAAAAACTTTGTGCTATCAAACTTCTGCTAAAATACATTTATTTACATGATAAGTGATATCAAAATAATCAATGTAATATCTTGCTCAATATTCATATTGTGTTGTAAGAGTACTTTATTACACAATTCTAGATTACCAGAATACCTCTAGGCCCATTGGTTTGAACAGGGGGTTATGGAACTGTTCTTACAAAGAAGACCTCAATGTAAATACAGTTTTTTGTGTGTATGTACAGTAATCGAAGGTGCCAAAATACAATAAACCAACCTTTCTTCAGTCCTTTGTTTGTAAGACTGACACAGTTGAGCTGAGTACCTGATAAGTAATTAGGCCGGGTGACAACTACACTTCTCAAATTTTAATGTACTCACAACTAGAGAGGAGTAGAGCTGGAAGGAGCGGAGAATCGGGGGGTTGTCAAAATATGGTTTCTGATTTAGTAGGCCTAGAGCTAAGCCAGAGATTCTGCATTTCTCCCAAATAGCCAGGTAACACAGAAGCTGACTGTGGGCCATTTTGAATAGCAGGGCTGTAAAGTTTCTTTCAACTCCGAGTTATCAAATTCTTCTTTACCGGGGTTACATAATCTATCTGTGAAGTAGATGACAAAAACATAGAGTGACAATACTCTACTGCAGTCAGCCGCCTGGGAGGAAAACACAAATCTTGGAATATATAAAGTCCTTGGGGAACATCATGTGATTTAGAAACCCAGTCAGCTTGCCAAGAGGATAATGAAAAACATAATTGAGATGTGGGTGCAAACCTCTAATGATTAGAAGCATTTGCTCTGACATGCACCTGGAATATGGCTGTCCCTATGCCAAGATTTTACTAAAAGGTAATTAAGCCCAACCTTGAGAAAATATTTGTACCCAAGAGACTGTTGAACTCAGCCTCAAGTAGAGTTAGGCAATTCTGGAGGATCCAGTTAATATTTTAGTTCTGCTGCTTGCAAGGAACACTTAGACCCCATAAACAATCAAGATGTTAACTAGATAATAGGCCATAAAGGAAGTTGAGCAAAGTAGACAACTCCAAAATAATCGAGGACAAAAAAAAAAAAATAGTGAACAGTTTTGTTGAACAGCAAGGCTGTTCTACGAGATTTAAAATGGTGTTCTGAAATACCGGATGGTCTCACTCATAGCAGGAATCTAGAATACTTAAATAAGGGACCAGGAAAATGAATAACTATAAGAAAGTGAAAATCAAAATCAACAAAAACTATGAACCAGAGACACTTTTTGGGGGTGGGGGGCGGGAGGGGAAGGATTGGGGTCAGAATGGGGGATTGCAATTGTACGGGGAATATAAAAATAAAATTTATTAATTTAAAAAAAAAAAAATTAAATATGTTCTCATATCATCATATACTAAGGATAATTCATGGAGATAGTTATTATATTTAAAAGAGTTGAAAATCCATTTATTTCTCATAATGTCGCTATACAAAAACCATTCTAATTCAGTGATTATTTTTGTTTTATAATCTGCTAGATAAAAAATAATATGTACTAAAAATAAATAAATAAATAAATAAATAAAATGGTGTTCTGGTCTCTAGTATCTTATTATCCCAATTTATGTTTCTTACCCTAGCCAAGTAATCCTCTCCAAAGACAATGCTGCTCTGCTGTGAAGTCCAGGACTCACTGCACCTGCAAAAATAAGAAATGCTCAGCCTTATTAGTATGTAATTCGAACGTTTCTGACAAAAGTCTACAGTTGTGGAACCATGACCATAATCAAGAGAATGAATGCTTCCACAGCTCCAAATTCCTCCCTTATGTATTCAGGGTCAATCCTTTCCATACGCGAAGACACTGACATCCAGTGATTTATCTTTTTCTTTCTACATTTGTTTGTTTTTTTTCTGTTTTAGAATGTCCTAAATGAAATCATACAGACTGAAGCCTGTTGAGTCTGCTTCTTCCACCTTGCTCTGAGATTCAGCAGTGTTGTGGTATGATTCAGGACTTTGCTCCTTTCTGTTGCTGAACAATGTTCCCTTGCAGTGCCCTGGTGAGCCACCGTGGAGCATGAGGCAAAAGAAAAACTGCAAAACTGTGCACCCCTATAAACATATCTTTATGAATTTCCTCCAGGACATTAAAATAGTTGAAAAATACTAGAAAACTGAAAAATAGGTATTTTTTAAAGTTTAAAACGATTCCATTTTTTTTTTAAATCAATGAACAAGGCTGCACAATAAACAATGAAAAGTATTAGTTTTTAATTATGATCTGTTATCTATTCTATCAAGAGAGAAAACAAAAACAATTGAAAAATAGGTATTAGGCCTCCCTGGTAGCACAAGGGGTTAAGACGCAACCTATGAAGCTATCCACAGCCACTGCACAAGTTCCACACCTGGCCAGGGAGCTACCCACATGGCACAGCAGACCTCTCCTGTCTTACCCAATGCTCCCCTCAGCAGTATATTTCAGTCAATCTACCAGTTCTGTTCCCCACTCTGTCTCCGGTAAATCCTTTCACCCCCCCCCCACACACCTCTGGCCTGTACCCCAGTTCTTGTAAGCATAAATAAGTATATCTTTAAAAAGAAAAACAGGTATTTTAAAGCTTAAGTATATTTTGATTACATCAAAACAGAGCTTATTATAATTTTATTTTCCTAGTCTTGATGGAAGCAAACTCATCAACCAAGATAGTCTTTTGCTTATCTCATTTTCTTTTGCAGTACACCTCTGTGATTAGTATTGTTTAAAAAAAAAAACCCAAAAAAACCTAAAGTCCACTTGCAAACTTGGGCAGATTGCACTAAGCAAAAATTGGGAAATTTAGGAAATCCAAAAACAATGCTGGTTTTATATTATAAGTTACTGATATTGCCTAAAACTATTTCAGATAAAACTTTTGTAGAACTTAAATTGTCTAAGTCAGTGGCCAATGGTTTTGAATCAGATCTAGTCATAGAAAATAACTCTCTTCTAGTTAACAATTCTAATCTGAAAATGTTTTATTTAATTTTCACTATGTCCATCTGAAATGTGAAATTAGGATATCTATACTCTGTAATTTTTGTTTGATATGCACTTCTTTTATAACAATTAATACTCTAATGCAATGATTTATAATTTCCAATTTTTTAATTTTTGAAAAATTTGTTTTCAAATTCTGGAAATATATACATATCTCTTGCTAAGGCACTAAAATCATTAAATATGTTTTCAAAGGTTTTTTTCCATTTGCTATAAATAAAAAGGTAATATACTATTAGTGTTTAAGTTATATGTGGTCTTGTGTTTTTGTTTAAAACACCATCTCATACAGATAAGTCTCAAAATATGTGTAATCTATTGCATCTAGATGATTTCTATTGTAGCATAATGCATGATACACTTATCTTTTAATATTTGATAAATGTTTTTATTTTGTATAGAAAGTGCCTTGATTATAATTGATTTTGCTGCCCATGGGTGTTTATAATATAATTTTTATAATAAACAGTATTTCACATATTAATTGAATTGACAAAAAAGTATATGTTATATTCAGTACTAAAAATGGTAAATATTTCAATTCATAAAAGCAACATTTTGCATATTAAGATTATGAACTGAATGCTGCAGAAAGTTGGCATCATCAATTTGGGGAGGAAATATAGCTGGCATACCTTGTATAGACCAGCAGGCTTACTGCACTATTAAATCCCTGGCCACGAGCTTTTTATGTTAATACCATTCTTTTACAATTTATTAATAATTTCACAAAATTGACCATATCAAGTTTTTTTTTTTAATTTCAATAAAGTCAATATAATTTTCTTTTATTTGTGACATTCATAATGTGAACATACCTAATAATTTAACATAACTGCTTATACTGGGCTACATCTGGTATACAATCAAAAGTAAAGTATTTTCTTCTTTTATTCTCAGTAGAATTTCAAACTTACTATAATTTCCTAGAAGCATCACTGATTTACTTTCAATTTTATTAGATCCTTTTTAATGATTAGTGATGTGGCCAGTCCTATTGCCATTAATTACCCATAGTTTAAGCTTAAAAATATTCCAGCATTACAAAAACCAACTCAAAATGGATTAAAGAACTAGACATAAGACTTGAAACCATAAAATATATAGAAGGACAGATAGGCAAAATACTACATGACATACACCTCAGTAACATCTTTAAAGACACATCAGCCAAAGCATTGATAGTGAAGACAAAGATAAACAGCTGAAACTACATCAAATTAAAGAGCTTCTGTACAGCAAAAGAGACAATAACAAAAACAAAGAGAAACCCCACTGACTGGGAGAAAATTTTTGCACACAGCACTAATGATAAAGGACTGATCACAAAAATCTACAAAGAGCTGATGAGACTCAACAAAAACAAAGAAAATAATCCAGTCAAAAATGGGCAGAAGAGCTAAACAGAAACTTCTCCAAAGAGGAAATGCAAATGGCCAACAGGCATATGAAAAAATGTTCAACATCACTTGCAATCAGGGAAATGCAAATCAAAACCACAATGAGATACCATCTCACACCAGTGAGAATGGCACATTTAAAAAAATTAGCAACAACAGGGCCTCCCCGGTGGCGCAGCGGTTGAGCGCTGGGTTGCGAAGCTCCCCGCGGCCTCTGCGGCGCCGGTTCAATCCCCGGCTGCTCCCCGGCCACTGGAGGAGGGTCCCACACGGTGCGCAGACCTCTCCTGCCGCCCGCTGCTCCCCTCAGCAGTGTACTTCGGTCCTTCTGCCTGCTCTGCTCCCTGCTCTGGCTCTGGTGAATTCTCTCACCCTCCCGTGCTTCTGACTGTACCCAGTGCATGTATAAACAAACAAATAAATAAAATACGTGCCTCTTTAAAAAAAAAAAAATAATAAAAAAAAAAAAATAAAAATAAAAAAATAAAAAAATTAGCAACAACAAATGTTGGCGAGGATGTGGAGAAAAAGGAACTCGCCTGCATTGCTGGTGGGAGTGCAAAATGGTTCAACCACTGTGGAAAGCTGTGTGGAGATTTCCTGACCTACTAAAGATAGATCTTCCATATTATCCAGCAACTCCACTCCTAGGTATTTACCCAAAGGACACAGAAACATTAATTCCAAAGGGCACCTGCACCCCTATGTTTATAGCAGCACTATTTACAATAGCTAAGCTATGGAAACAACCCAAATGCCCAAAAATAGATGACTGGATCAAGAAGATGTGGTACATATATACCATGGAATATTACTCAGCATTCAAAAAGATAAACTTATGCAATTTGCAGCAACATGGATGGAGTTGAAAGGGATCATGCTCAGTGAAATAAGCCAGAAAGAAAAAGTAAAACACCGGATGGTCTCACTCATAGCAGGAATTTAGAAAACCTAAATAAGGGACCAGGAAAAAGACTAATTGCAATAAAGTAAAAATCAACAAGCAACTATAGACCAAAGATACACTACAGTGGGAGGTGGGGGGAGGAGAAGAGGGATTAGGGTCAGAAAAATTGTATGGGGAATATAACCAAAATGAAAATGCATACATTATGCAAAAATGAAAAATGATGTAAAAAAAATTCCAGCATCTCAATTTTCAATAATTTCTTGTCCTCCTCTATGAAGCAAACTATTTTTGCAAATAATGTCAAAAATCACATGTAAAATATTTCACTATTTTTTCTCTAATTTTTTGGTTTTCTGCAAAGAACCATCTACTAAGCTGACAGTTTGAATAATTCCATTTTACAAAAAGTATCATGATGAAACATGGAATTTTCATGGCAAACTACATTTAAATTCTTCAAATTTTTGAAAACTTTTATTTGCCAATACTCAAATGTTGTGGTATTACTGCTAAAAGTATCCATGGAGGGAGCAGGGTGGAATAAAGACAGATTCCTTGGAGTGTAAGAAAATATCTCAAGGAAACTACTTGCCTTTAGAACACACGCAACAAACATCAATCATTATGTAAAATAGATTCTCTGGGGTAATCTGGATCTTACTCTGAGTTGGGTTCAAATTCTATTAAAAACATTTTTTTAATTGGGAATTGGTGACCACAGTAATGTCAAATTGATTACAAATGGCATTTTTTTACTCTTTTGTTCATAGTCTTGTTTACTAGTTTCTGAAATATCCAACATTTCTCGTCCTTCAGTTTTTTTCTTCACAATTACAAATGACTCTAAGTGAAACTGAACATAATAACTGTTACAATAATGAACAGACTTTATTTTCAGTGGCTGAAATGCTGTGTTTTCTAGTCATCCTTGTAACTGTCCTGCTGTAGAGAGAAGATTAGGGTGGGGTCGGAAGCACAGGGATGACAGAGTGAAGAACAGAACAGGTGGATTTATTGCAATACACGGCTAAGAGAAGCACAGGGTGAGACAGGAGATGTCTGCATCCTACGGAGGATTTGAGGCTCTCTTTTATATTCTGTTTTCGTGGGCTTTCTAACTTGGGGTGCCAGTTTGTACCAGCCATCTGTTGGGATATCTTGTCTCCAGCACTGGCCTTTGACACGGAAGCATGTTCTGGCTTCTGCTTCTGCATTCCTGGAGCTGGGCTGTTTTTTCTTGTCATGGTGGTTGGTTTTATGGCCTTGTTCCCAACCTTATCAATTCTCTTATCTACTCCAGCCTCCTAAATCTGCCTGCTGGGTCAGGAGTAGGGGCTTAGTTTTTAACCTTATTCAATTATTATATCCCAACATGTCCCACTTAACTTTGATCCATTTCTGCACACATTCTTTCTTCTTTTCCTCAATCTTGAACCTCTTGGTTTTTTAGATATAACGTGTACATATTTCTAAAAAATTAATCTTTAGTATAATTATACATTTATTTTTAACCCAATACAAACTTTAATTTAAATTATATAATAATTAGAATTAATTTACATTAATTTGGTTAATTCCTATAAATTATAATATTTAACAATTAAATAGATGTATATAAGAGTTTGTATCCAAAATATAACCCCCTCATGCACTGTTGGTGGAAGTGAAGAAAAAGTACAGCTGCTGTAGAAAACCATATGACAGTTCTTTGAAAAATCAAAAATAGAATTATCATATGATCCAAAACTCCACTCCTGGGCATACACCCAAAATAATTAGGTAATAATTGGATATTGGATATTCATAGCAGCGTTATTCATAACAGTCAAAACATGGAAGCAACCCAACCAAGCATTCATCAACAAAGAATTGATTTGATACACAAAATATGGTATAAGTATCAAAAGCAAATGACAGAACATCATGTAAATTCTTTTTGTGTAAATAAAGGTCTATACACATAATTGAAAATATTGGGAGGAAAACATAAGCAATATAAACAGCGATTCTTCTAGAGGAACAAGAAGAATATGTTTTGTGCAGTTTGAATTTTTTAAATAAGCATGTGTTACTTTAATGGTTAAAAAACTGTTAAAAATAAAAATTTATTATAAATCTATTAATAAAATCTATACCCCATAGATACCTCATTTCCTCATACCTCATTTCCAGTGCTCCCACCAGTCACATTCCTAACACAGAATCTTGGGTGTGGAGAGATAGAGCAGGGAGACAATGGATCCAAAGAATCCTGGTGTTGGCCTTAGTAGCTTAGCTCTTCCTGAAGATGCCACCTGCAGAAAAGTGCCAAAGTATTATCACTTAGACTAAGTGAGGAAGAGTAAAGTGAAGGGTCCTGACAAGAAAATCTGTCCCTTTTTATCTAGAAAAGTCAAGGCCACTCCACAAACCTGAGGTAGAAGACGTCTGCTTACAGTTCATATGTGCATAATTTTGATTTATGAGAAACACATATATCGGTCAAGCTGGTGACTATTTTGTTCATTCAGATGACTGAAATATTTATTTCTCATAGCATTTTGATTTTCAGCCACAGTTCCTGGCTCCCAGTTCCCCAAAGTGTTGGAATTTCCAGTTGAATATGTTAAAAAGTACCTCTTGTTATGTTAATAAGGGTAACTTTCTGTAAATAATTAGGTAATAATTAGATTGGGGGTCAGTTGCCTGAGAAACCAACGTGAGTAGAGGATTAGAATTTCCAGTCCCACCACATACCTGCTGGAGACTGAGTTCTATTCACACTGACCAATGAGTTAATCCATCAAGCCAAAATAATGACACTTCCCTAAAAGCTCAAAAGGAGGCCCTTAGAGTTTCCAGGTTGAGTTACCAAAGAGCTTCCAGCAGGTGCCACCAATCTGGACCCCAAACTTCTTGAGGACAGAAATTCCTTTGCTGGGTACCTTGCCCTATTTTCCTCTTTATCTGTCAGTTGAGTCACAGAACTGTGTCTTTTGTAATGAACTTTGTAATGAACTGTGATCTAAGAGTAAATTGGTTTCCTGAATTCTGTGTGCTGAACTAGCAAATGAATCAAACTTGAGGCCGGATCATAAAAATCTCTAATTTATAGTCAGTCAATCATGAGCACAGGTACCAGTCAGTGTGAGTGACTGTGTCTCAAGTGGAGGTCTGCCTTGGCAGACTAAGCCCTTGGCCTATGGAACCTGAGGCTGTCTCTGGGTAGATAACTGTCAAAATTGAGCTGAACTGAATTCTTGGCCATTCTGCTGGTGTCTGAGAATTTCCTCTAATGTTTAGGAAAAATCTTATACACTAATCTAAAACTAAATCATGTGTCCACCCTTACTGAAGGGACTTGTAGATAACGACTGGGCAAACCCAGAGACAGTCCCTCGCACACAGGTAGTACATGCTACACATACTAGAAACGTTTTGCTTTTAAAATGTTGTGCAAGAATATCTGGAATAGGGCTCCTTGTGTGTCTATTTACAAATAACACTGTAAAAATAGTAAGAAAAGGGACCAATGTGTCAAAGGAACACAGAGCAAAGAAAACACCCATTTGGAAAAATAAATACAGCTGTCCTGACCAGAAATACTTGAGGAAAAAAGCATTTTATTCATAATGATATGGCAAATTTGCTGTAATCCCACATTAAGCCCTCTTCCTTCCTACCTACTTTGTGAGAGCCTTGAGAACAGGACTTGATGGCTACCTAAAGACAAGAACATGTTAATAAGCAACAGTCTGCTGTGTTTAGACACTGTGTAGGCACTGAGGAATTTTCCATCCACCCAGGGAGACAAGAATTATATATTAAACAATCAGAGAACTGTGAGCACTAAAGCTGAGTCCTGTGTGGGGTTGTGGATATAAGCCACAGTGAGTCAAAATACAAAGAAATGGACAAACACCACAGGCTACAGTGGGTCAGCAGAGTCTCCCCATAAGCAAGTTTTCAATTGTTCTAATGAGTCTGTGTCCTTTTCCTTCCTTATTTCTAGGATCATACTTGTCCCAATTTAACAGATAGGAAGACAGACATTTTACATTTCTTTCTGGTACTTACTCTCCTACAAAATTAGAAATCTACAAGTTATGTACTTGTGGGCCCAGAGAGCAGGAAATTATTCCTATAACTTTAACCTTTATTTTGTTCGGAATTAGAGCTTCTAATGAAAATAGCATCCCCCTAAAACAGAAGCTGGCCAAAAAGTTTTGCCCAGGATTTCAAGAAGGAGTGAGCCCCAAAGAATAGTTTTTAAATTACTTGTCCCAGAGAAGCAAGTCTTTTTTGCCTTATGGGTGACCCTTTCAAAAACTGTTTAAAGGACAAAACAGCAGACACTGTCCTGGGATTAGACTGAAACCAAAGTTGTATATCTCAGTCAAGGCTGAGATATTTGTATAAAATTGAACATAGGCAACAGAGTGGATCAATTTGCATGAGTACATTTTGGAAAGACAAGAAACTGAATTTTTAACCACCCCCACTTCTGATGTGTGAAAATAAGGAGCTAACAAGTTGGACCAATGAAATTAAATTAACTCTAGGATAGAAAGAGCTAATCTGAGTTGCTGAGCTCATGACCAGGGCCCCAGAGCCAACAAGGAAGGGCTGTGGTAAGCAAAGGTCCTGCTGATGTTGGACTTCCTCCTGACAAGCCAGCAGGACGTGTTTCTTGTGATTCAAGAAACAGGAAATGGTGTGGAAGGAATGAGGGTTGGACCATTATGAAAGCCCAGAATGGAGGCATGGGATTTTCTATCCGCCTTCAATGAACTGAGATGCCAGGAAGCACCATTTGGAGTAGACCAACAGCATCTTAGATTGGAGAGAATTCATTTTCTTGTAACCATGTGTGCCTGGTGAGGATGGGGAGAATGCTGACAGCTGACACATCACCTGTGGCAGTCAAAGAAAGTCCTTCTTAGATTTTAGAAGTACAGTAGTGTTTGGGGGAATTATTCAACAGCTCGTAGAAAGGAACCTGAAAAGGGGTTATTTAGATTTCTCATGCATCTGCTTGAGCTGTCAAGCAGTCATGAAAATCTAAAGAGTATGACTAGTTGTATTTAAATTTAGGAAGCAGATAAATCCATTTACATACATAACATAATTCTTATCCAATTCAAATTGGAAACACTGTCAGAGACATGATTATTTAGTGGTTAAAAGCATAAACTTTGAAGCCAGACAGTCTAGGGCCAACTTCTAGTTCCATCACTTATTTGGGAGGCAATCCCAGGAAACATCAGAACATAAGGAAGGAAATAAAAAAAGAAAGAGAGATTGCTAATGGGTATGTCATCAAGTTCCCACAGGGGACAGTAGGAGCACAAGTCCCTTTGGGAATTTTGGGGGACAGAACAGAGCACACTTCAAGGTTGTCCCAACCAAGAAGTAGGAAGCTGGGGCCTACTGTCCACCATCGGTTCAGGGCAACTCGTGGGGGGCACTAGTTCTCCAGCACCTGGCCTCCCACACATGTGCTGAGCATGCTTCCAGAACAGAGCACCTAGAGGGACACCTCAGGTTCTCACAGTAAGCAGGTTGAACAAAGCTGAGGACTCCCAGGGAACAGAATAGTGACCAGGTTAGCTATATAGAGTGAAAGGGCTCAGCCCGGAGTAGTTCAGAAAACACTTTTTCAGAGACATTTTATCTTCACTCACAACAAAGCTGAAAGATAGGTTATTATCCCCATTTCACAAGGAATGAAAATGAACATACAAGACAGTCACTTAACGAGAAAGGTCATTATGCTTTGTCTTTCCGATCAAATTACTTACCAATGTTACACAATTAATTGGCACAGCAAGAACCAGAACACAGATCTTCTCTTCCATACACCAGCAAGTCATCTTATAAGTCATCTTGTAAGTTATCATTCTCATGGGCACTCCCATGGGCAACTTCAAGAAACAGGTAAATCCATTTACATCTTATAATTCTTATTTGCCCATTAGAATGCCCTGCTGGTATGAAGTTATGGAAGAAGCTGCCCTTGGAGGAGGGCTAAAGAAGCAGAGTCCGCATTAGAACAAGAAGATAAAGAAACTATTCCAAGCCTAGGCTGCTACTATAGATAAGTCTATGAGAATGGAGCATGAATTCCAGAGGAAATCATAGAAGTGCTTTAGAAGTTGAGAGTGGGGGAGACAGAAGAAGGGGATTTAAAGGGAATATACGAACCTCTGAGCAATTCTTAAATTTGTCTCCTCTCCTGTCACCTCCCCCTTTCTCACTCCATTCCCATCACACTGATGTCCTTGCTGCCCACCTTGACCATTCCAGGCCTCTCCCTGCATGGGGCCTTGGCACTGTTCCCTCTGCCTAGAATCTTCGTCCCTCAGATAACCACTTGACTGAATATCTCCTTCAAGTCCTTACTCAAATTGCTCTTTCTCAAGAAGTTTAACTACCATGACCATCCTATCCAGTCCATATCATGTCCTGACCATGTACCTAACATCTTGATCCCCTGTTCTAACACATTTTTCCATAACAACTTTCTGTATATACAGTTAATGATTTACTGAGTGTATTGTGTGTCTCTCCTTGCTAAAAGGTCAGCCCCACAAGGGCAAGCATCTTTGCTTTGTTCATGGATATTCCAAGCATTCAGAAGAGCACCTAGCTAGGGGTGAGTGCCCAAAGAACATTTTTTGAAAATGAATGCATGCCTACAAGAGAAAAATCAATGTGCCATTCACATCTTTACTGTAACTTAATGCCCTATGTTTCCAAGAACAAAAAAGAAACTTCATTTTCTCTATTTCCAATACCCCGCAACTCACATCTTCCCTACTCTCTGAGTCTTAGTCTTTTTCACTCCTTTTTAGTCTAGCAACCAGAACTTCTGCCTTGTTAGGTATTTTCTTCTCAGCTCACTCTTAAATGTTAGTGCTTTTGTTCACCATGTGAAGCAGATGGTAGTAACGGAACTGTCTTCCTTCTCTTTATTTTTTTTTGGACATTATCAATACCATGAACCCTATTTTGCTTTTAGATTTGTTACATAGAAGGGAGAATCTGTTATTTGGTTAGCATTAGGTCTAAACATTGCCCTTACATCGCCAACACTATGTTTACTTCAATATATTTACAGTGTCTGAAAACATTTGCTCTAGTTTCAACAGTCAAGGCTAAGAGATAAGGATTGAAATGAGAGGAGAGATGGAAAATGGCCCCTCTGTCAAGTGCTGGGAAAGGACAGAGCTATAGGCTAGAGAGTAACAGAATCTTACTCTAAAATGAAATCATGATTTTAAAAAAAGAAATCAAGGGCTTGAATAATTTTAAC